TAATTTTTTTTCATGGTTTTCCTGCGTTTGCTCTATTTTCGTAGGGTTATTATTACTATGTTCGCTTGCTTATTCCGACTCGACTCGACCAGTATTTTAACGATGAATTGTGCGTCAAAGAATGTCGGACGTTTAAAAAGGAAAGCTCGAAAAATTTGGAGGCTAAATTTTACATTCGTTGCATATGCAATACATATAATTTCGTTACATTTGTTATTCACTTGCTTTCAATGGTTGATGGATTATATTCTTACCTTGAGTGTTCGAACTGATTCTCGGTCATTTAGCCAGACTTTAGGACTTAAAATGCCTCAGAAGTAGAGATATTGTAGGGAACAAGTTACTCAATATGTCGGCGATGTGTGAACTCTATTAGACACATGGCACTTCGTTTCAAAATGAGGCAAAAACCACAGGAATCCCATCCTGATGAATTGCATTCAATTTGTTTTGTTATGAAAAAGAAAGTATGTCTTTATATGTGCGATACAATCTTGAAAATGATTATTCAACTAGACATAAATTGAAGACTCTCAAAGATAATATTTAGATCGAAATATTATTGCCAAAGAGGTACTCAAAGATTTGGATTTAAAATTTCTATATTGCAATTTCTATATTGCATTCTCAAAATATTATTGATACTGCATACACTTAGTTTAAATTTTCCATCTAGAATATAACACACAATGTTAATAGATTATCTGTCAGGGTCAACAACAACAACAACAAATTTTTATTTGGAGTTCTGCACACAAGGGTACATAAACATTGGTTCCAAATGTTTTTAAGGGAATGTATAGATAAATATGTTTGTTTTTTAAAAAGTTACTATTTCAATATTTTGTCTTACTTCGCAAGGCAAAGCATTCATAAATATACTTTGCTGCTTGCGTTGGTAATCTATTTGGAGGATCTATTAATTTTAGAAAAAATTCTTCCTCCGCAATAAAATCGTGAATGTTATTTTGCTTAATAAATGTATCTCTAATCTATCTAAAGTATAGGGGGCATTTAATAAGGAAGTGTTTTTCATCACATAAGGAGATCCACATCCACCCCCCTCCCCTCCCCTCCCCCTCCCTCTCCCTACGCAAAAAAAGAGAAATTTTTCTGATGTTCCCATTTAAACATCAAGTCCTGATATTTGTCAATTTCTGTACACAGGATGTGAACTTTGCAAGAAACTACACAAGACGACCTTCAGTATTGATAACAGCAACCCATGATACAATCGTTGGCCTTACTAACCCTACATGCAACGGGATTTCAGCTTGGATTGAGGTTGGTTTCAATCTGTTGTCATTATTTGACATTGACATTGTAGATATCATAGTCAACCCTTCTATCATTCATGCAGTTTGTCAAAAACTGCCGCTGACCGCTTAAAAGACCTCGCTTACACTTATTAAACTAATCGCCATTGCCCGGCTCATCATCTTGTGATCGATAAGATTAAATTTGATTACTCATAGAAATATTCTAAAGCGCAATACTTTGTTTATTTAAACACATCGTTTCAATACCAGACCGTTTTTGTTATTATACAGAATATTACGATGGAAACATTCCGTGTTTGTCTTAAAGAGCTGTACTCGGACCGTTATGATCCTGTTACCCTGCAGTACGTGGTTGTATCAGGTATTTCATTTTGCTCAATAAGAACTACTCATTTAACTAATTGAGACGAGAAGTATTATTTTGGTAACGTTTATTGTTTCGTGAAAACATTCCATGCATTGGCAAGGTGAATGCTTTCAAGATGCACTCACATCTAGACTACTACAATTGTTCTTCGTTTTAGATATGTGTGGAAAAGACTGGAACTACTTCAATGGCTTCTGCTACAAGACCACCTCTTCCTGTGCCTCTTGGAATGCAGCTCAGTCCAACTGTCTTGATGTTAACTCCAATCTGACCAGTGT